ACCGTGTAGTAAGCCCTAGTGTCTTTTTCGTTTCCTGAATGTCTTTATGTAATATAATACAGCAACAGAACCTGCTGCGTGTAAGGCCGTGAAATATATCTTCTTTTTCAATTAAAGGGTATGTTCCACCTCGGAAGATATCGGAGTAATCATCGGATGGGAAGAAATAGCCCCATTTATAACCATCAGTATACCTTCAAGTGGAAAAGACTGCCCTAGACAACGCTATATCGTTGCATAGTGAGCAACTCCTCAACATGTTCTTGCTTGCTTACGTCATCGTGATTGTACAGCATTAATTGACAGCCAATTGACCGCCGTTATATTTGCAAATTGTGCTCATCAACGCCATATATAAACGACTCGACAATTATGTTTTGTTTGGTCTTGATCGCCGTGTGGCTAATAAAATGAAATGACTTGAATGACGTTATAATGGCGTCACAGATGCCCAGGTTACCTCGAAATAGTCTCATCAAAATAGCCTGCACATCTTCGCAGACGTGTGGCTCAGAACCTAGAGGGGTTTAAGTTTCAAAAGGGGCAGAGCTGTGAACTACACCGAATGACCTATAAGATGTTTTTCAGTTCAAAACCCTAAACAAATGTGGAACACTCCTTTTAGACAGAATGCTCCACATTTTAAGGCAATGAAGCAAACATCAGGCGTGATGAAATAAGCTCACTTATGACCATCAATATATCTTAAAAGTGGAAAAGCCTGTTCCAGACAACGCAACTTCTCTCTTAAGTAAATATGCTCTTCATTATGTCATTGTTTGATTACGTCATCGTACCTTGTGCAATAATGGAGAGCTCATTGACAGCCGTTATGTCTGGAAAGCGTACCCCTGAACGCCAGATATGAACAACTCGACAATTATATTTTGTTTGGCCTTGATGGCCGCATGGCTTATGGGGGTGGCAGGGTTTAAATGACATTATTAAGGCATCATGAAGGCCTGGATAATTTTGAAATAGCCTCCCAAAAATAGTCTGCGCATCTTCGAGGGCGTGTAGCTCAGAAGCCAGAAAGTTTTAGGTCTTAAGAAGGACAGGGCTGTGAACTGCACCGAATGACCTTCAAGATGGCTATTTCAGTTCAAAATCCATATAAATGTGGAGCACTACCTTTAAACTCCTGACCAGGAATTGACAACAGAACGCATACAATGCAATGTGATGCAAGTTTTCACGTGCTGGCGTGTGGTGGATCTTTTGCGTGCCAAACCGTACTTTGCATCGTTTGCGGAGTATCGTCTTTGTAATGGAGCTCAAACTTTTAGGCTATTCATATTCAGTTGATTGAGCAACCATTCGAACAATTAAACCACTGTTGGATTCAATGCAAATTGTAAGCCAGGGGATGTCACTTTCTCAAATCAGTTGGTGGCTGAGCCACTAAGTTTGACAACCTGTCCCCAAAATCTGGCTCTTCTCCGAATTTGGCAACGCGTTTCAACGCTATGCTCATGGTTCGATTCATCCGTAAATGTTAATCAAACCCACGCCAATATTTCTGTCACTCTGAAACTCACCGTCCGAAATGTGACGACTTCATTCCAAGACGCCCTTATTGTGATGCAGTCAGTTGAAGGTACACCGCTAAAATGTACTTTAAACCGCCCCGTTCTGCAACTTGCCGTTGCCCGTACCGGTAGCTCAGCTGGCTGTAGCGTGTGCAACGTGATTCATAGACCTTTGGCGGGATGGGTTCGAGCCCCTTTAGGCGTTTTTTATTTGTTCCTGACTGTGGCAGCCTGCGGTGGTTAGTAGCGGCCGTAATAACCGTCAGATAACTTCAGAGGGCAGGTTGGACCGCGCTAAACAATGCTCGCACCAAAGGAATCCCATTGGCTATAAAGCAGGGTTATGCATGCAGTGCAAGTTTCGAACACGTTTTACGTTTTGCACTGCATAATTCAGGACGTTGGACAACGTTATGCTAGAAATAAGACTGGGAATTGAAAACCTAGGAAAAACGCTATAACCGGGCATCAGAATGCAAGCAAAACAATATGAAATCGCTGATAAATATAGAAAAACACCATGAGAAAATGTCAAAACGCACGCACAAAAAGAAAGTTGGCTCCTGCCAACAACTCAACGATAGCACAACACCTATCGCGAAGTAAAGTGAAGTACTGCAGGTGAGTCAAAACGTCCGCTACGATAGGAATTTTGCGCGGCCAGCTTTGCAGGCTCCCGGACGCCATACATACGTTCTATGAACCGATCAAACGACGGCATATTGAGCTGCACATTCACTACGCATTGAAACTTTGTTATCTAGAGTAGTTCTTGCACATAAAAGCATGCCAACAGTTACAAGTGAGGTAATTGCATTATATCTGATGTTTGCTTCGATATCCTCAAATGTGGAACGTACCCTTTAAGATGGGGCGCAACACTGCGGACAATCGACTAGACGGTGGACTACCTGCGGCAGGTTCAACTGTCGCGCGTTCAGGACCGCCAGGAGGCCATCTGGAGCACCTCCTGTGCGACGGTTTGACAGATGTGGGATCAGTGATGACTGCCGCTGTCGCTGATCGCGTATTGCTATTCCACTGACGTTCGAATGCCACCATAGTCACGATTTTGCGGCAAAGACAACTGAGACTGATGAGAGAAGCATAGGTAAACTTTTGCATGGGCCAGCCCGTATTTTTAAGAGCTCCCGTATATTACAGCAGGGGCGCAGCCAGGTTTTTATGAGGGAGGGACTCGCACTTCGGTGAGTACGTATCACGCCGATTTTTTTTACTTGCTGTCGGCAGCCATCTATGGTGAAGATCGAAAACTGTGGGCCTCAAGAGGGTTCTCTCTTGGCTGTGCCGTCGTATTGCAGTCCGTTGTGTTTCCCAATTCACGTGCAATCACATGAAAACTTGTCAAACCCTTGCAGACTGACCCAGCATGTGAAAAAGTTGGCATAATAAAAATATTTCTCTTTAAGATACCTACCTACAAGACCTTCACCTATACCTACAAAATACGAGGTGCAAGACACCTACAAAATACTTTTTGGCAAAAAATAAACATGATGTATTGAGATACATAACAACGATTTTTGCTTATATATATAAATATATATATATATATATATATATATATATATATATATATATATATATATATATATATATATAACGTAAGTCGTTCAGTGCATCTATTAACGAGGAACATTATTCACGTAAATAAGACAGTGGTATTAGCCCTCTTCCTCGGAGAAAACCAAGAGAATGTAGATATAGCTGGGTTATCTCCCTTCCTCCGGTTTTTTCCCGAGGAATAAGGCCCATACTATTATATATATATAACGTAAGTTGTTCAGTGCATCTATTAACGAGGAACATTATTCACGTAAATAAGACAGTAGTATTAGCCCTCTTCCTCGGAGAAAACCAAGAGAATGTAGATATAGCTGGGTTATCTCCCTTCCTCCGGTTTTTTCCCGAGGAATAAGGCCCATACTATTGTATATATATATATATATATATATATATATAATATATATATATATATATATATATACATATATATATATATATATATATATATATATATATATATATATATATATATATATATACATATATATATATATATACACACACACACATATATATATATATATATATATATATATATATATATATATATATATATATATATATATATATATGTATCTATATACATATGCTTGATAAAAAACAACTGTTGACTCAGCATTCACGAGCTTTTTGACGCATCGCTCTAGTTTCCGGCCTTTTGACTTGGCACCATCGCTTAGATTAAAGATGGTTCACACCAAATTATTCATATACTCTCGCTCCTTACATTCTAGGGCCTCGAGATCCTATCTCATCGTCGGAGAAGAATGAATGGCACAATAAATAAGTTTTAAGCTTTAAAGGATAGAACATTATTTTTATTTTGCTACATATAAGAGCCATTATGGGAGCACTTCAAAGACACTATGAGAACACTATTGCCACAATCACACCAATAGTGCTCACCACCCAACACCTTATAGTTCAAGAGTTGTGCGAGAATTTGTTCGTCTGCTTAGGGCCGGAGCGAGTTCGTTAATGAATATGCTCTCCCAAATTTGAAGACGTTTTCTGTCAGTGCACGTTGTGGGTAGATGTCATTTGATTTTGATAATGCAGTTTGACATTCGGTCGGATGTCTTCTCTTGGTTTGCTGTCAAAGTGTCTTGTTATATTTCGTTGTATTTCATTTTCAACGTCAGAGTTTGAAAAAACCGTTGTTCACCAAGATCTCCCTGATTCATATCAATTCTGAATGTAGTCCTGTCCAGTGAGAGCAGTGCCTAAATGCACGTCTAATAAATGACCTTATGACGCTAATTTTGTAGCGTCGAGGACACTCACTGTCATCATTTAAGCACCGTCCGTTGTCAGTCTGTTTTCGGTATACAGCTGTTTTGAATCGTTGTCCTTGTCCATCAAAGACACGTCAAAAAAGACTATTGTGTTTTGTACACTTAGCTCTGTTGTGAGTTTTAAACCAGACCGCTCTTCAAAGGTGTTTTTGAGACGTCCTGATATAAATACGAAAATATTTAACTTTCTTATGAGAAACAGCCCAGACAAACCCGACATACTAAAATGCACCAATGTAGTGTAACTCAAATGCAACGTCGAAGGCTGCAAACTTCGTCTCATACACTACATTGGTATGACCACGACACTCTCACGACGCCCGACAATGCACTTACGTGACGGGGCACCTCTGGACCACATGCAACACGAACACATGACATTGACACGGGAACAACTAACAGACAACACGGACATTTTACGGCCGTGCAATGACAGAAGACGCCTTCAAATTTGGGAAAGCATATTCAGTAACGAACTCGCTCCGGCCCTAAACAAACAAATTCTTGCACAACTCTTGAACCATAAGGAGTTGGGTGGTGAGCACCATTGATGTAATTGTAGCAATAGTGTTCTCATTGTGTCCTTGTAGTGTTTGTAATTATAAGTGTTTCTTATATGCATCAAAGTGAAAATAGGGCTTTGTCGTAGTTCAATTAGTCATGCTTCATTTATGTTCTCCGTACCAAAGTATGTTTTCCAATAACAGTGCACAATTTTGTATCCTGTAAAAGTCAAAACTTATTTATTGCGCCATTCAGTCTTCTCCGACGAGATAGGATCTCGAAAGGTTAGAATGTAAGGAGTGACGACTATATGAGTAATTTTGTGCGAACCATCCTTAATCTAAGTGATGATGCCAAGTCAAAAGCCCGGAAACTGGAACGATATGTCAAAAAGCTCGTCCATGCTGAGTCAGCAGTTATTTTTAATCAAACAGCTATAAAAGAAAGGATTCTGCCAAAATATTCAGATATGCATATGCATATACATGCATATATGTTTATGTTGATATATGCGTGCATGTATATGTATATATAAATATATATATATATATATATATATATATATATATATATATATAATATGTATATACTGTGCGTGTTTATCTAAATATAATGCAAATAAATACCAGTAGAACTAACAAAACTGTATAACGAGCACCTTTGTACACATCACTATTTGCGGATAGGTAGGGGAGAGCGCGGTGAGTTGCATCATGTCCGAGCAATATCAGAGTGATTTACTCTAAACCTATGCGACAGATGCCGATCTTGAGTCATTCGCCTGACGCAAAGCAGCCCCCCTTATCACTTAGTGAACTTACTTCCGGCTACACATCTGTACGGGTTTTGGGATGAGGGCGACAATCTTTCGTGTATCGCTGAAAACTGGAGATCGGTGGCAGCGTGTGCTTTAGGTCTTCCACCGTAACAAGAATAGCATCAATACTCTACCGAGTGGTGTAAAGTGCATGTGCCGCATGTGCCGCAGAACATTTGACGCCTGCTTCCCAAGGATTTCAGGGTAGCGCGAACTTCCGTCCAGGATGTTGGGTGGTGCATGTTTTATGAGTTATGCGTGGGGCACGGTGTATCAGTAATACAATGCTCCGGCAATAATACCATGGGCTTATCCCTTCAATGATTGACTGAAATGATTGCCATCATCTACTGTGGGTTAGATAATAAGTCAGCATTTACAGTACGTATGAAGATTCATAATTCCTACCTAAGCAGCCCGAAGGTAGTAAACTTTTTAGTAAACTTTCCCGAACATGTGATACAATTTAGGCCAGGGTGGGACAGGCTGTACCAAGATAACCGGGCCACCGGTCCGCCAGTGGAGCATGAGAGTGTCACTTGGGGCCCTGAGCGCAGCTGGGCAGTCGTGGCGAATGGTAAAAACATTTACACCGCGTCAACCCAGCGCTTGAGTGGACTACTCCGCGGAATCTCGCTAACCAGCCTCGGTGACGACCCTTGCACCAAAGGTCATGAGCCCTTGCACTCTGTTTAGGTGACACGCTGTAGCCCTACCCAAGACTGAGAGGCGATACAGGACACGAGAGAAAACGTGGAACTGGATAAGGAGTTTACGGATCTCGGTGGTGAGATAGTAACGAATCCCATGCGAACATAACGGAATCCTGTCGCCGCCTCCGTGGTCTAGGGGAAAGATGCTCGACTCGTAATCCCGCGACACTGAGTACGGGTACCAGGGTGGGCGGATTGTTTGTCCCGACTGAAATGGAACGGTGAACTGGCAACCGGCCACCGAGGGTGAACACAGGCCCGGAGCCGCCGTGCCGCAGCATTGTGCGGCACGTAAAACCCTCCGTGGTTCTGTCTGGCGAAAGGGTGGAGGCAAAATTCTCCATTTAACTGGACAGCACGACTTGGGTAGTGGGTTAAGAGTACACGCAACAAGCCATACTTAGCAAGTACTCTGAACCTGAAGTCCCCCATGCAAACCATTTGGAATGAATTATAAAAAAAACAGGATGGAGTAGCCCTTTTTGACAGCTGAATATGTATATCTCCCAGGATAGCGTGCCGCCATTGAAAACCTGAAGCATGTTCATGGATGGCGAAAAGGCAAATTTGTGCTCAGCGATGTCAAGTCGATATGATGGGGCCTTCTCCAGGAACCGTGGAGTACCGAAATGAAGCAGGGTTGCTTTGTTAAGATTCGTTTGGAGGGAACTTGATGTTAAGTAGTGCTGGATCATTTGGATGGTTTGCTCCTGTCGGGATTTCAAAGCGCAGAATGCAGCGGTGAGTGGAGTCTAGCGGTTGGACGGGATGAATGGTGAAAGGTTGTTAGTGGAGATGCTGAAGAGAACAAGGCCGACTGGGGACCTCTGAAAGACCAATTGAGCCTGAGGGACAACCACCTCTCACCAGTTATCGCCAACCAACAGGTTAACTCTAACACCACTTCGGGTCGGTGTGACATTATAATGTGGCGCTGAGAATAGGGCCGTTCAATGCTGGGTTATTTGTATGACAACATGCATATATATATATATATATATATATATATATATATATATATATACATATATTGTGGGCTGCACATGAGGTTCCCTTGCGTCAGCAGGCAATACGCGTCGACGCGGCGAAAATTCCATGGAGGCCATCATACGACAGACGTTGAAATCGCTTCATAAAAGCCCTGTGCCAGTTTTTCCGGCCGAGGTCACAACCTCGACCAGGACCGCGGCCGTTTGTTTATTTTCTCGGGCGCGTCGGCGTGTCGGGGCGGCGTGTACCATCTTGGCTCCCACGATGACGCCTCACGGAGATCCTCCGTCACGCCGGCCCGGCAGCCGATGTTTACCCAGTGTCATGGCAACACCCGTCCGTTCTGTCAGACCGTAGTCGCAACGTGAGGTAAACGTGTCCTTCTCCAGGCCGTAAGACCTCTAGCATCCAGGCACGCCAGCTAGGTTTCATAAGTTTAGTTACCTCTGCCAGCGTTAGGGCGTGGCGGCCAGCTGAGTGTCTTGAAAAAGCGAGTGCTGACGCCTAGTGCTGTTTTATAACCAAGGTTTCACATAACTGTAACCGCTAACATATCTCTTTGACTTCTGAAACACAAAGGCGGTGTTCTCCATTAATCGTTGTACGTCTCCATACGTTGGCAAAAGGACCACTAATAATGTTTCGTCTTCACCATGAGCACATGGTAATTATTTGAATGCATCGTCCCTTGCATGCTACCTTACGCGGAACATGTCTGGCTCTCCATGTGACTGTCACGCGGCGGGTCTGTGTCCATGTCACGCTGCAGGTCTGTGCCCATATCACGCGGCGGGTCTACGTCCATGTCACGCGGCGGGTCTGTGTCCATGTCACGCGGCGGGTCTGTGTCCATGCCACGCGGCGGGTCTGTGTCCATGTCACGCCGCGGGCCTGTGCCCACGTCCACCCTGTCACCGTGCCGATGCTAACGACTGGCATGCCTGTACCTCATCACCCATTTCCTTCTGTGCCGGTCGCCGCACATAGGTCGATGCAAACGAGGGCGGGGTGGAGGCAGCCGACACGCTGAAGGATCCGCTAGGGGAGTTCGGTAGATTCTGGAGGATCCGGTTTTTTGTACAGTGTTGTTGCCGGTTGTTATGGTTGTGTCAGAGAGCTTACACGTTGTCTTTTACCCGATTTTCATCAAATGGTTACATCCTGATTACTTCAGAAAACGTTTATTACAGCCCTCAAACTCACATAGGCGTAACTATCACTGAGGCCGCGGCTGTTCAGCCAGACTTCAGTAACTTTCGGGTATATTTTGCTGCGGACCTGGTCATGCCCTTTCAATTTTGCCTACTCCCCGCGCCGTGCCGTGTAGAATGGTGTAGTTCGTGTGCTTTTCCGCAACAAAAGAGAGTCAAACAGACGGGTCATTGTTATTGATTCGAGTTTTACGGCGCCACAACTGCTTGATTATTCACCTCCCATCAGACGGGTCCCTACCGAATTTGGACCCGGACCCAGTGGACCTCATCACGTCGGTACGCCTCTACCTGCTTCCTTCAACATCATAGGTACGTTCCGTTGGCGTATCCATGTGACCAAGAGTCCCGTGCGCAAACCATACATTTTACGCAGTTGATGTGACTGCGTCAGTACTCGCAGGTGAGTGACGTGGTCATGCTCATAATGTTTCGCTGAACCTAAGCCAGCCCCGCCACAGTTCACGTTGTGCGGAAGATGAACTCTGTCTCTGTTCCAGGTCGACCTGTCCTCACCCGGTGACCACACAGCGGACGCCACATGGGCCATCCGTCCCTGGTAATGCTGGCGCTGTCTGGCGCACTGCTCGGCACCCACTGCAGCATCACAGAAGGTCAGTAGGGCGAAGCCAGATGCCCTGCAACAAATCAAGAGCTCTGTGACTCTCGAGGAATGTGTGCAAAGTACGCACGCGTCTTTTGACCAGCCTAATCCGCTTGAAATTCTTGTTTTACGTTAGCCTCGCGAGCCATCGTTTGACGGGCCGTAGGACCAATCAGTCCCTCGCGAAGCATAGGCTAGGATCAGTCCCTCGCGAAGCATAGGTTAGGATCAGTCCCTCGCGAAGCATAGGTTAGGATCAGTCTCTCGCGAAGCATAGGCTAGGATCAGTCCCTCGCGAAGCATAGGCTAGGATCAGGTCCCTCGCGAAGCATAGGTTAGGATCAGTCTCTCGGGAAACATGTTTTCATGGAACTCAATTTTATGAAATTTTAGTTTCATGGAATTAATAGCGCGGAACACAAGACATAATTTACAGACTTGTATTGCCCATAGCATAAAGACACTCTCAAAGGCCTCACATTATTCGTACTGGATGCAATGACATTGATAGCATAGAGCGCAAGACACAGTTATGCATCGTTGCCTTATTGTCCGTAGCCTATGAACAGGAACAAAGGCCTTACATCGTTGGTACTAGATGCATTGGTGGAAGGTTTGGAGATCGGTATGAAGGATCATAATTTGTACTGGACCATCCGTGTTTCTGATTTGGGCCCGCGTAACTAATGCGATCCTGCGTTGCATCGTCGTTTTACTGCACCCATTTTTGGTCACGTTTTAGCGCATCAATCTAAGTATTTGTTAATTTGACGTGACAACACGATTTGAGGTCGGTTTCTGTACCAACGTTGCCAAAAGCAATACCGATTACTTGACGGGACACGAATTACAGTCCCAAGGAATTGTAAAACGAATGTGCCGTTGTGAATACCGTTTCTTGGCCAGGTATTGCGATGCAGGTATGGACGGCGAGCGCCGATTGCACAATATGGATTTGCGTGCTGCGTTTTCTGAGTGAATAATGCACGAGTTTCTACCGGGATTGTAAGCCCTTCAATCCCATCCAGATGGCTGTGACGACAGGTCCATGCGCTGACATTGCCTGGTTTGTAAAAGCTGGTCTTTAAAATGGGTTTCAATCCCACTGATAATAAGCCGCTGGAGGTTTTATGGCGCTAGATGCTGGCTGTTTACCATTTAACACCCCATTACTGTTTTGTGGCGTTTGATGCTTGCTGTTTACCATTCACCATCCATTACCGTTGCTACCGCTCGAGCGACCCTCGTCACTCACTCTGTCCTCCCTCTCCCCCAGCAGACAGGTTAGCAGACATACCACATCATGTGATATCACCCGCAGACCAGCAGTTCGGTTACCTCCTCCCACAAATCTCCAGTCCTGCCATGTCCTCCCACAGGTCAGCTGATTCACCACCTCCTCTCGCAGGTCCCCTCTGAGATTCCTGAGATTCGCAGGTCGCGCCATCCCCTCTGTCACCTCCTCACAGAAACCATCACTGCTATGGCTTGCGTTCACAGATCAGAGGTTCTGGTACGATGACGGCTCTCGTCGACTGCGCGAGGTGCTGGCCAAGCCGCCGGTGGAGCGCGTGGCGCGTAACGTGGTGCTGCTGGTGGGTGACGGCATGGGAATGAGCACGATCACGGCCGGCCGCATTTACCGCGGTCAGCAGCTCGGCCTCAACGGCGAGGAATACCAGCTCTCATTCGAGAAGTTCAGTCACATCGGCCTAGCAAAGGTAACGGGTTGTGTGGACTTTTGGGGTTGGAGGGCTTCAGGACAGATTGGCGTTTAGAGAGAGGTTTCTGAACCTGAGGGGAGTGAAGTACAATGTACCGGGATCCTTCCGCTGGTGGTAGCCATGGGTCGGGGGCCTGGCACAGGAATCTCATAAAAACCATGGAGACTTAAGCATAGGTATGCCTATCTTGACCTTTACCGAGTGATATCTGCCTTTGCGACAGGTGAAGATTTATTATTGCAAATGCATGTTACCTGCATTCGTAAAAAGCTTCACAAGTGTAGCTTGACTCTTGAGACAACCATGTCCCTGCCAAAAGCACAACAGCTCAGTTAGGAGAGGTTCGTAGCTACTACCACCGAAGTCTCGGCTACTCGATGGAAAGGCTGTGTGTCACGGCGACGCGTGACGTGTACCATCTATAATAAAGGATTTTGTCGGATTTAGCAATGTAAGACTATGAAGCGAGACTTGGCCAGGCTCTGTTCCGCGCTGATGACCTCGACCGCACCCCTGAATGGCAGACGTACAACGTGGACGCCCAGGTCGGGGACAGCGCCGCCTGCGCCACAGCTCTCTTCTGCGGCGTTAAGACCAAGTTCCACAGGATCGGCGTGGACGCGTCCTCGGAGGGTAGCAACTGCCACGGAGGGAGGCGGCTGACCTCTCTGATCGACTGGGCCCAGCAGGAGGGTGAGTGGGCCGCCGAGCTGTGCTGTTGAGCGGTTGTCCGTCCAAGGACAAGGACAAGCTGGACAAGCGGCAGTGGGTGTGATGTCCAAACTGAGTGAGAACGCTTAAGGCATTGAATTGTTCTTTGGGGCGTTGAACCAATCGTTGTTCATTTCTTTCTTCCTCCGTAGCGGCCAGTAGCTGGCACAAGAACGCTTACCCTGTTGTTTGCGCAAACAAGTGTTCTCGGAAAATATTTAGAGCGGTCTCTGGTCAAAGCACACGCTGTACAGAAAGAACGCCTGCTCTTACCAACACCGGCCAGCAGCAAAAAATGGCCCAGAGACACCGTCTGCGCACTGGTGCTGTTTGTGCCGTTCAGGAATCGGCTAGAGATACCAGTGTACTGGGGTGACACTGGTGCGCCAGGAGTGGCCCCGAGGTGTGTGGCCCGGCTGCCGGCGCTCACGTAGCTCTGCGCCGCCAGGGAAGTCTACCGGTCTCATCACCAACACGCGGCTGACGCACAGCACGCCGTCGGCGGCGTACGCGCACGTGCGGGAGCGCCGCTGGGAGAGCAGCACGCAGACCGGTGGCTGTAAGGACATCGCGCAACAGCTGGTGGAGGAGCAGCCCGGCCGCAGTATCGACGTGAGGCGCACCAAGGGAGGGGGTCTCCCTCCGCTGCTGACGGGCGGTCGCGCCGCGCTGCCTACGGGCTTCCGTCACCCGTCCCTCATCGGGCATCCTGCCCTGTTTACGTAAACAAATAGCACAGATGGCCTCCCACCGGGTGTAGACTTATCACTGTCATTTGACAACGTCGATGCCAGTCATTACACCTTTTATTCCGTTTAACCGACTTCGAAGCAATCTTCTGTGCAGTGGTTCATGACACCTCGAGTACGGTTTGTAGACAGTCGCTTTTGAATGATCATCAGTTTATACCCATACGGAACACACACAAATTCATCCAGTAAAAAGCAAATATACACTCACAACACCGTCTAACAGTGGCGTGAAAGGCCTGGGGCGCCTGGCACAAGAGAGCTGACGCACGCAGGGGTGCAGGAGCCCACTGGAGAACCGTCCCTGGGTCAGCCAGCCTTACGCGCGAGGAAGTCTGATACGCGGGGAACAGCCTGATACGCGCGGGAGTCTGATACGCGGGAACAGTTCGATATCCGTCCCAATGGCTTAGTTAATTAAAGCACCTGCCTCCGGACCAGTGAGAAAGAATCGCTTTTGAACTAGGGTGAGAGTGAAAAATTCCACCGCAAAAGGCCGTGCAGGAGTGAAAAATTCCATTCACAGAAGTTGGAGCTTATGAGTCAATAAGATATAAACCAGCAAGCAAAGACATACATTTCAAGTTGCCTTGAAGGTAATATCATAAGCATGACAAAACTGTTTCTGTTTTTGAAACATCTTAGGTCATTACAGTAAAACAGAACACATTAAATAGTAATTATTTTATGGCAGTGTGATGAGCATGAAAAACTATGTTACACCAATGTTTTGATGTTGCACTTTGCACTTCTCATGCATATGATTTTTAGGCACAAAACAAAGGAAAATTAACTGAGCAACAAAAACAACAACAAATAATTCAAGAAGCATAAATCATTCAAACAAAGAAGTCTTGGCGTCCTGCACATCAGCCCATCACCCAATCAAACACATCAGACATGCCTCTGGCTTCGACCGAGATGAGGCCGGGAAATACAAATATTGTGTCATTGTTTCTTGCAAAATACCGATGTGTATTTCCATGGAAGCAACCTACCCAAGCCTAACCTAGACAGGCCTTAGCTCATCTCATCCTGTCTAACCTATTTGTATCACGGCAGCATTTGTGAATCGCTATTTTTTGTGTGTGCAAAACTCCTGCTGCCACTTACCATGCAACTAACCAACTTTCCCAAATTTAGAGTAGCCCATATGCTGAATGTCATCTCACTTCACCTCATCTATTTCTTGACAGCAATAGTTGTAATAAAATTGTGAAGATTATTTTTGACTGGTTTCAACTTGTATTTTGAATCAATTCACTCGTGCGAGCTTGTTGACACCACCCAAAGTTGACCACAAACAAAGCAAAGGCCCCCAAATCACTTTGAACAACTTATTCTGGTTGTTATGGTTGGTCTCCATCAAGGGCAATAGTGGATATACTCCACAAAACAATCTCTCTTCTCCAAACGTAACATAACTTACAGATGGCCACAAAACCAGTTTTGCTGCTTGCCCTTTCAGATGCAGCATAGGCATACATTCACATTTTGTTATTCATATTTCATGACTTAAAGTTTAGGATGTTTCCTTCACACTTTAAATTGGATGGTCTCACTATTTGCAAAAACTGATATCCACTTCATGTTGTAATTTTTACGCAGCTTAGGGTATTCCTGTGTTAAACAATGTAGTGCATACCTACAGTATAGTCATTTACCAGCCAGCAAACCATGGCAACTGTGGACAACATCTGGTTAAGGCAGACATGAGGGGCCACTTCAACGAATTTGAGGCAAATAGGCAAGAGTGTGGAACAAGATAGTTCAATTACATGTCTTCTGGCATCATAATTTGCACTATGAACAAAACTTGATGGATTAAAACACAAAATGACTAAATCTGTTTACAAATAATGTGTTGAAAGCAGGCAAAGTTAGTAATTGGTTGCTCCACAGGAGAAACATACTTTCTATTTAAGGGCATGCTTCTTTCTGTTCCCCACATAAAGTCAACATCTTTCGCATGGTTTGCTGACAGACAGGGTCATCCAGCCCACCCACAAAATATTAAATAAATGTCAGTCATGCCCCGGACCTATAAGATTAAACTGCGAAATAAGAAAGGGGAAGTCTGCATGATAAAACAGAATTTCGCTACCAAAGACTTCCGTATTAGCCGCGGCAGGTCTATTCCAAGACCATGTACGCAAAGATAATGTACCGTGTTAAGGTAGCAAGCCTAGAATGGCTTACATTTATCATTATTGAGCCCCGCCATGAGCCAAAAAACGGCTAGCTGGGGGTTCAACAGTGAAAACATGATGTTAAAAATGAGTTCCGTGATTCAAACTATCTCCTTCATTCCCTGTGAGTTGTTCACTATTAAGTGTATATCAAACATACTGGAGCAGATGAGGAATTAATCCAATTGATGTATGAAATATGTGCGAGTTTGCAGCTGGAACATTTTTCAGAGAAATTGGTTAGCATTTTAAGTCATAGATGCTACATTCAAAGGCAATCAAAAAGGAAGGAAAAATGAGGTTGTATCACACTCGTATGATAACAGGAAAAAACAAAAATGATTAAATACATATAAAGACTGAAAGTTTTTGGTAAAATTTTTAATCAGGCCTATTTGACTAAAATCTGTGAAAATGAGTGCTCAAGTGGTGATATCCAGCTCTTATATTTCATTTAGGAAGCATTTCTTGAATTTTTCACACCTGCACTTCGGAAGTGGTGCAATTTAATCAAGTTTCTTCGGGTTAAAGATATACGTGGAGTAAAATTCTCTATCGTGCTTTGCTGGTGCTTGTACCAGGCTTTGTTTTAGTGGTGCGGTGCTTACGTGGTGCGACCAAAATAATTGGGGATGTATGAAAACCTTGCATTTGGCACACAACCACAGATTGTGATGTATTTTGTACAGGGAGCTAGAATCGCTTTTGAACTAAGGTGGGAGTGAAAAATTCCATCACAAAAAACGGTGCGGGAGTGAAAAGATCAATTCACAAAAGATGGAGCTTATGAACTCGTGACTGATGCTTCAGCAAAAAGACATCTTTTTCAAGTTGGCATGGACGTAATATCAGGAACCTAACAAAACTATTTCGCTTTTCAACATCTCAGGCCATTCAAGTGAAACAGAATACATTAACACGCGCTCGGGTGGGGGGGGGGGGGGTGGAGGTGCAAATTGCCCCCCCCCCGAGGGCTTTTCCCGAATGGTTTCTGAACGGCGCGGAGTAGTTGCGCCAAATTTTGCATAGCTGTAGAAAACTGCATAGCGGATCGTTTGGGATACAAATTTTAGATGTACCTTGCAAGGTCGCTGAGCTATGACAGGTCAAAGTCAGCCCATGTTTTCAGCGAAGGCAATTTCTAGGGAATCGTTCAATCTGATACAACAACGGGGTGTTTGACGAAGACATACATATATGAGATGCTTTCTTAGGCACCACAAGCATTAATAAACAAATTACGTTGACCTAAGGTCAGGTATGACGGTCAGACCAAGGTCAAGACCAAACTGATTTATTATTCTAGGGCTTGCTGTATGTAAAAGTTTCTGGTGCTCATTTCGAATTTATTGACAGCAGGAACCATATTATACATCTTTAATTGACTTCTTAGAGGTCAGAACAGGCCATTAATCTAAGATGACCCGGGTTGAACTTTTTGTTTTAGGAACATACTGCCTAGCGCAATCTTTGTCGCTTATTCAAATGCAAAACGCAGAGCAGTCTTGTATCATTTTGGTCACCATGACCTTCAAAGGGCCAAACAAGGTCAATGACCTCAAATGGGCTTGTGACCTTTTGCTTAGAGACAATTGCCTAGGTTCTGGGGGCGCTTCGGAGACCAACCTGGAATTTGACCTTGTTTGACCTAATTTGACTTGAAGGCCATGGTCTAGGAAGCTGAAACCTTACCCTAAGTGAGTTCACGCATAGGCCAAGACACCCTGTCAATTTGGTGTATCTAGCTTTCGTAGTTCCCGAGATCTCGGAGAGGGGGAGTCAAATTGGCCCCCCTTCCCCACCCGAGCGAAGGGTATCTAGCCGGCCAGCCGGGCGCGTGTTAGAACATAGTAATTACATGACAGTATTATGAGGATAACAAATCGTGAACACGAATAATTTGATGCTCCACTTTTCAATTCCCTTCCACAGCACTTTTAAAACAAAACAAAGCAAAGGAGTTCAATAACAAAATAACAACAGATAATGCTACACGCATAAAACACCCAAACAAAAAAACCCTGGACTCCTACAGATCAGCCCATCACCAAGCCAAACACAATAGACATACTTCTGGCTTCTGTTAAGATGGGGTCAGGGAAAACAAGCATTTTGTCACTGTTGCTTACAAAATACCAATGCTTATTTCCATGAAAGTAGCCTATGCTTAACCTAAAGAGGCCTTACATCATCTCATCCTGCATAACCTGTTTGCATCACAGCAGCAGTTGTGAGTTACTGATTCTTGCACAATTCTTATCGCCACTTGTCATGCACGTAACCAACTTAACCTGACTTAGAGTAGCCCATATGATGAACATCATCTCAACTCACCTATCTGTTGACAACAGCACTTGTGATAAAAACATGATATTCAAAGCTAGTTTTTGGCTGGTTTCAACTTGCATTTTTATTCAGTTCATTTGCGTATGCTTGTTGACATCAGACAAAGTTGACAGCACACCAATCAAACACTTGAAATCACTTTGAACAACTTATTTTGATTGTCATGGTTAACCTATGTCAAGGGCAATAATGGGTATGCTACACAAAACAATCTCTCTTCTCCAAAAATGACATAACTTTTAGAAAACCATGCCAGTATTGCTGCTTGCCTTTTCAGCTGCAGCAAATGCATCCATTTGGGCCTGTTTATTCATATCTAATGACAAAGTTTGAGATGTTTTTTTAATTTTTTTTAAAGCTTTGATCCGAACCCTTTGAATGGATGGATTTCCGGGACCAGAGCTCACGCTAAGCAGTGCTTGTTGTGTGAGCCCTGACCCCTACCATCCGATCGTGCAATTCCAGGCAACGGCAGAATTTGGTGGCGAAAGCTTAACATGCCGCAATGCTCGGCACGGTCCGTCCTGCCCTCTGACGTCAACTGACCTTTAGCGCGACCGCTGCCACCGGCCGCAGGCCATACCTGTCAGGGGCAAATAGCGAGCGCCCTAAAGCAACTCGAACCCACCCCGCCACGGGTGGGTGCATCGGAAGGCAGGCGCTCTAACCAACTGAGCCACCGGGACGGACAAATGTTGGCTTCACAAAAAAAAAAATGTTGGCTTCACATTTTAAATGGGGTGGTCTGAATATTTGCTACATATCAATATTTACCTCATGTTATAATTGTTATGCAGCTTAGAGTATCCCTGTGTTAAGAATATAGTGCACATATAGAGTACACTCATTTGGCGGTCAGCAAACCATGACAACTATAGAAAACATCTGGTTAAAGCAGTCATGAGGGACCACTTTAAGAAATTTGGGGCAAATAACCAAGAATATGGAACAAAATAAGCTTGTGACATCATAATTTGTCTTATGGCAAAACTCGATGTATTAAAACAGAAAATGGCTAACTCTGGTTACCTTGCTCATGTCTATTGTCCTTGCTACCTACCTTACCTTGCTTGCATCATGTGTTGAAAGCAGGTAAGGTACGCAATTACTTGGTCCACAGGAGACTTACTGGCTTCTTCTTGCTCCCCCCAAAGCAAAAATTCAGTACCTTCTGACAAAAGACAGAGTCATCTGACTCACCCCCCCCCCAAACAAGTGCGGAACAAGTAAGAGGTGTGCACGATAAACATCTCCAGAGGGCAGAATTTCGCCATCAAACACTTCTGTATTAGCTGCGTCAGGTCTGTCCCAAGGCTCTATATGGCAGCCTTGCCTTGCCTTAATAGCCTCGACAGGAAGCCTGGTGAGTCAGACACTTGAAAGGCTTGGATTTATCATTATTGAGCACGGCCATGAACCAAGAAAGCGGTTAACCGAAGGTTCAATAGGGTAAAAATGGCGGTAAAAATAAATTCCGTGGTTCAAATTGTCTCTTTCATTCCCGTGTGATTTGTTCACGCTCGGGTGCATATCAAACATGTTTGGGCGGCTGGCGAATTAATCCAATTTATGTATGAAATACGTACAAGTTTGCAGTTGGAGCATCTTGCAGAGAAACTGGTCAACATTTTAAGCGGAGATGGTACCTTTGAAGACAATCGAAAAGGAAGGAACAGTAAAGTGGTATCACACTGGTATGATACCAAGAAAACAAAAGTAACTAAATAAATATAAAGACTGGTACATTTGTCGCAAAATTTTGTAATCAGCTGATTTGACTCAAAATCTGTTAATGTAAGTGCTCAAATGGTGATATTCATCTTGTAAGTTTGAATTAGAAGACATTTCTTAAACTTTTCACTCATGCGTTTCGGGAGTGATGCAGTTTAGTGGTCAAGTTTCCTCGGGAAAAACAAAATGCGTGGAGTAAAATTCTCTACCAGGCCTTGCTGGTGTTTGCACCAGGCTCTGCTTTCGTGGCATGGTGGAGAGACAAGAAAAGAGAAAAAAGTATTTTAAAAAAATAGAGGATGCGTGAAAACCTTGCATTTGTCGCACAGCTACAGATTGTGATGCATTTTGCAAACAAACCAAACTTAATGCGTGCAAGCGGCTGGGCTCGCTGGGGTTCTTGGGCTTGAAGGTACCTGGCGCCCTTGCTCTGTGCATACATAGACATGATTCCGATGTAGGTGAGGCGGGAAATAGCCACAGGTGTCCAGGTTCTGCGGAGCCTCGTTTATGCTTGGTGGTTTCAAGTGAGCTCGGTTTTGGATGACATTTGAAAACCTCAGAAAAGGAAATAGGGATTTGGCATGTGCGATTAGACAATGTCAGCCAGGAGGGAAAAATTCACAAAATATGGGGAAAAAGAGTGAAAAATTCCTCCTCATAGGGTGTTGTTTTACACCCAAAGTCAGACATTCTAGGACACTGATGTTGTAAACAAACCAGGCCTGATGCATGCAAACGGCTGGAGTCACTGGGGCTCTCGGGCTCGGAGGTACCTGGTGCCCTTCTTCTGTACATACGTAGACATAATCAGATGTAGGTGAGGCAGAAAATAGCCATTAGTGTTCAGGCTCTGTGGAACCTTGTTTAACCTTGAACCTTGTTTGAACCTTGTTTATTGTTGATGATTTCGAATGAGCCGGCTTCAGATGACGTCTTAAAACATCGGAAAGGGAAAGATGGATTTGAATTGCGCGGTTAGACAATATCAAGTGGGAGTGGAAAATTGACATACCAAAGTCGGCAATTCTAGGACACTGTTCCGGGCTCACCCATCTGTGGTGGGTGGGGTTGGGGGTTCGGAGCGCTTTAGACGCTCGCTATTTGTACCTGACGCGTATGGCCTGCGGCCGGTGGCATCAGCCGCGATAACGGCAAGATGACGCTACAGGGCAGGACGGACCGTGCCGAGCATTGCGGTACGCTAAGCTTTCGCCATCAAATTCTGCCATTTACCTGAAATTGTGCGATGGGATGGTAGGGGTCAGGTAGGGATGGTAGAGGTCAGGACTCACGCGACAAGCACCGCTTAGCGTGAGCTCTAATCCCAGAAAACATCCATTCAAAAAGTTCGAATTAAATCTATAAAAAGGATGCTTGGGAGGAACAGTGTGATACGCGGGAACAGTCTAATATGCGGGGAACAGTTTGATACGCGAGGACCAGCCTGATACGCAGTGGACAGCCTGACACGCGCGGAATAACCCGGTGCGCGGGGAACAGTCTGGTACGCGGTGAACAGTCTGATACGCGGTGAACAGCCTGACACGCGTGGAATAACCTGATACACGGGAACAACCTGATACGCGGGAACAGTCCGATGCACGAGGAACATCCTGATACGCGGTGGACAGCCTGACACGCGTGGAATAACCTGATACGCGGGGAACAGTCTGATACGCGGTGTACAGTCTGATACGCGGGAGACAGCCTGACACGCGCGTGGCAGCTAGGCCGATGGACAGTCAGGCTTTTAGCAATGTCATTTGTCAGAACCACCTGAACCCTGCGCAAGTTTGCCCGCTAAGCCTAGGTAACAGACGGACATACCAATAAACTGTTAAGGTCCATTTTGATGA